AAAGTTAGCGAATGCAATATCAAATAGAAAATAGTTTTCAATGATTTCAAATAGTTTAATTCAATATTTTGACGAGAAATGGTATGAAATTGATATCAATAAAACGACAAAAATCATATATTCTACAAAATGTAAAATTTGACATGAAAGTCCGTTCTAGATCTTGAAGGTATGAAATGTTATTCATTAAATTTTGAAAATAAAATACATAAATAAGATGTTAAAAAACTGAATGTGTGATTCGATTTCACGTAAAATGGTAACAATTTTGAAAGTTATTGTAAGGAATTATAATATATAATTAGATTTAAAAGCAATATGAATGTATGAGAAACTTTCATAACTGTCTGCTTCTTTGATTATTCTTGTGTATGTATATATGTATGTATATATGAACAAACACGCACACACACACACATGGACCCCGATCGTATATATACATACATACAAATATATGTGTATATATGTATATATATATATATATATATTATATTATATAATATATATATATATTATATATATATATATATATATATATATAATATATATATATATATATATATATATATATAATATATATATATAATATATATATATATATATATATATATATATATATACGTGTGTGTCTGTGTGTGTGTTTATATATATATACATACTTACACATATTACACATATATATCTTCACTGGTATTTCTTGAACCAGAAGCTTAGGTTAGCAGGTATTTTAGGGGCCGGATGAGATACAGAAGATTTATCACTAATATGAAATCGACAATTCAATAAAGCTTCCATGCCCCTTCCTCTTTCCATAGTCTTTTCTGATTGACACAGCACAAACCATAAGTAAGAGCCCAAATGTCGGGTCCTACAAGAGTTGGTAGATGGCGAACAAGGGGTTTAAGGTAGACAACCAAAGTGTCTTAACTCCATTTATTGAACAGGATGTTGGCGTGCGGCTGCAACTTAGTTAAAACGAGTCTGTCTGATCTCCTATACACTGGTTTAAAGATCGCACCAAGTCACGTTGTTAGCATGTGGCGAACGGTGATGAACAAGGAAGCGTTACAACAATACGTAGCTCTTCTGGAAGAGATAGACAACACAACATTCTAATGTCTGGTGAGGCAAGAAGAGAGGAATGAACAGAGGAAGCAATGGTCAGGCTTATGCATATGTATATGTATGTGTGAAGATACGTATGTGACAATGTAAGATTATATATATATGTATCATATAGTAATTAGATATAGATATAGCTGGCTTACACCATACATAAATACATGTATATATATTGATGATGATGATGATAATGGTGATGAGAATAATCAGAACAGCAAGAAAAGTTGTAATAATAATAATGATAATATTATTGATAATAAAAAAGAAGATAGAAATTACAATGATAGTAATACTGATGATTGTAGTAATAATGATTTTCGCTTTCTCTTTGCGTTAATTGCAATACGATACTTTTCAAATAATGTATTTAACGATTTATCAAAATATATTCTAAATGTCTTGGCAGTTTATAACATAATTTCACATAAATCGCGATGAATATAGATGAGTTGCCTTCTTGTAATTACACGAACTAGGTACACGAATAAAGCAATCATTAATAAATAGAGAAATAATTGAAAGAAATTGAAATATAAATTTATATATACATATGAATATGTGTAAATATAGGTATATATGTATAGGTATTTATGTGTGTGTTGTGTGTGTGTGTGTGTGTGTGTGTGTGTGTGTGTGTGTGTGTGTGTGTGTGTGTGTGTGTGTGTGTGTGTGTGTGTGGTGTGTGTGTGTATATATATGTATATATATATATATATATATATATATATATATATATATATATATATATATATTATGTACATATATATGTATGTGTATATACACATACATACATACATATATGTATATATATATATATATATATATATATATATATATATAATATAATATATACATATGTAATAATGTGTATATGTACACACACACACACATACACACACACACACACACACCACACACACACACACACACATACATACATATATATATTATATATATATATATATATATATATATTACATGTCAAAATATGTATATATATATATATATATATATATATATATATATATATATATATATATATATATATATATATATGAGACCCGCTAACTAATGATTCCCCTGGCCCACTTATCCTAGAAGTCTGAACATAACTCATGACATATTTTCTGTTGTTGTGAAAATAGAACCAATGGATTATCGAGCAGTGATCACGTTTCTATACGTGAATGGCCACACACTACATTAGACCTTCGATAAAATGCAAACAACTTATTTAGAAGTAGCCCAGTCATATGAGGTTCTTGAATATTGGCTCGATGGCTCGTCACACACTTTTCCAGGAGCAAGAACGAGTCCATTGTTTGCAAGGCCATGTGTCAGGAGAACCCCGGAGGATTTTTTTAATAGACTCATTATGCAGGATGAGACTCTGGTCCTTCACTTTGATTCAGAAACTAAATCCCAGTCAAAATGGAAGTACTCACTACCCCCCAAGAAGGTACGTGTCACCCCTCGGCAGGCAAGGTCTTTCTCACATTCTTTTGGGACCAGCATGGAATAGTGATGAAGGATTTTCTTGCAAAGGTACTATAATTATGGGGACTTACTACCAAAGGTGCCCGCCTCCTACCAGACGCCCCTTTTCACAACTCTCACATTGGCCAGATGGCAGAGCAATATTGTGGCTTTGACATCCTTCCTCATCCTCTTTATTCTCCTAACCTTCCACCTTCTGAAATTCACCTCTTTCCATGAAGTCATTTTTGAAGGGCAAACCTTTCCAAGATGATGAGGCACTGTTTTCCGAACGTGAATTTCATCGTTTTCAAACACAACTTACGGGACTGTCTTACGAAGGAGGAGCGTAGTCAAAGTTGGATGAAATG